TCTCACGTGACGAGGCGTGCCACAATCTGTTATTCGCCACGTGCTTCAATTCGTTCGGCGGGATGAAGATCTTTTTCCCCAATATGATCAAGTGGATCGGGCGAGCCGGTGTCGGACTCCACACCCGATTGGCCGATGAGATCAGGACCGTCGTCAGATCCAACGGCGGAAAAATCACGATGGGCGCGATGGAGCAAATGCCGTTGATGAAATCTGTGGTCTACGAAGCGTTCAGGATCGAGCCGCCGGTGCCGTTGCAGTACGGAAGGGCGAAGAAGGATCTCGTGATCGAGAGCCACGACGCGGCGTTTAAGGTTAAAAAAGGGGAGTTGCTGTTCGGGTTCCAACCGTTCGCGACCAAAGATCCGAGGATTTTCGAGAGAGCTGATGAGTTTGTTCCGGAGCGGTTTGTCGGCGAGGAGGGGGAGAAGCTGTTGAAGCACGTGCTGTGGTCGAACGGTCCCGAGACGGAAAGTCCGACGGTGGGGAACAAGCAGTGTGCCGGGAAGGATTTCGTGGTGTTGGTTTCGAGGCTTTTGGTGGTTGAGTTTTTTCTCCGGTACGATTCGTTTGAGATTGAGGTGGCGCCTTCGCCGTTGGGGGCTGCCATCACTATGACGTCACTTAAAAGAGCAAGCTTTTGATTTATTTTTATTGTTTTTTTTTTTTTTTTTGGGAATTGTACTGGCTTTGTGTGGGATTTTCTGTAAAACTGACGATCCGGAATTGGAATATTATGTTTTGTAAGAAGGTGGATTGAAGATAATTAATTACATGTGGGAAATTTCATTTATTTTTCTTCCATGATGATCGTTGATCACATGCTAACCATAATTTGATCGATTCCATGTGGAAAATTTTAATTTGATCATATGTAATCTATGTGTGAGTATGAGTTCTATAACTTACTGTAAATTCATAATTTATTATATCTATTTTTTATTTTGACAACTGATTAGACTTAAGTTCATTTTAATTGATTACAATCAATATCAACTGACCCATCAAACAGACTTTTTGTGTGTCAGAACTCATAACTCGTATAACAAATGAAACACGTGATGTATTATTGATATACGAAATAATTAACCATGTTTTTAGTGAGACTTTTATGTGCATTATGTATCTACATCGATATCTAAAAATTTTAGAATTGTGTTATTGATATTGCGGTGAGTGGAACACTTGCGTGCGTATATATGTGCAATGACACTCGCAGGATTTTGTCCATTTTTTTTGGTGTGGATGTGACAAGCTAGTGCAGGCTAAAAAGGCTGAATTACAGAGGCACAACAGAAAGGTGGTGTCCCCAAAAGCTTAGTTTGAGATTCCAATTGAAAATTGATCTGCACATAAACTATCACCACATGTCTCGTAAAGAAAGAGGAATAATTCATCACATCATTTGTAAATGAGTTCGGATTCTTGTCGGATTCTTTTTACGAGAATTTTAAAGATTTATGAATTGTATCTGTTCATCGTACATTGTACGGTTATAAATTATTTTAAATATTTTTATTTAAAATAAACGTAAACAATACTTGATAAAAATTGACCGTATGATATATGATAAACGAACACAATTTACAGATCTCTAGGATCCTCACCAAAAAGATCCGAAAAGGATCTGTTGGATTTGTAGATGGCTGGATTTAATTTTATATTATGAATTTAACCAATGTTTAGATACTTTTGTACTTACCAGTTAATATATTACTGGATAAGAAACCATGTCTCTCCAAGTTTTTAATTTATAAAAAATCACAATAGTATATTGAACTCATGTTATTTAAACTAACCAATTAATTAAGAGTCAATTATCAATGCCAACTATGATATTACAATGTAGTTCATCGCACAAGTACACGTCATGGAAATAACGCACGTGGTAAAAGTGTAGCCGATTTGTCAATGAAGGTGGGCTCAATTGGTAAATTCTGCCTCAGTGCTTTGTGCGCCTCTTCGTAAAGTTCGAGTCTCGTTGCCAACAATCTTTATTGATGTGCAATTTGTAAGTTTTACTTAAATTCATATCAATAGCAAGTGCCAGTTAGCTACTACATGTAAGTCCTTCTAGCTCGAGGTGGGTATGCCTTAGTGCCGGTGGTGAGAGTAACAAATATCTTCCTAAACTTTTGTTCACAAAAATAAAGGGAATTATTATTAGCACTCCAAAAATCTCATTTGGCACTCCAAACTTTCTATAATTAGAAAGAAAAATATACTTGTGAGAAGTGTAGAATGAGATTTTTTTAGTGCTATTAACAATTCCCAAAATAAAAGTGTACATGTTTTTTATTTGCTAGAACATTGCTATTTAGAGGAATTATTTTTCGTGTGCTATTGTAGCCTATTTGTAGAGTATATGGTTTATATATCTCACTTCTAGAACTCATTGAAATTTTTTTTACACAAGTTACAGTTTGAGTGAAATTATAACATTACGTGACAGTGTTTTGAATAAACCGAAAAATTGCTTGTAAATGTGAATGCCTCTCCTGTTATAAAGCAATGTTACCTCATAAAATGCTTGTATATAGTGCACTGAATTATCACGAAATTTACCTTCACAAATATATGATACCGTTTATCAAACTTAGGGTATAGTTGATTGTTCAATAACAGGGACATAATTTTGCAAATTATCATGTTTATCCAAGCTAATTATGTGTTAGGGTAAATTACACAAAACTACCTCAACTATGGGTCGAACAACACTGTCATACCTCATCTTTTAAAAATGACAATGTCATACCTCATCTTACGAATTTGTGCCAATGTCAGACCTCCATCAGTTTTTCTATTAATTTCTCTGTTAAGTGCTAACGTGGCTACAGACGGAGCCCACTCATTAATCCAACTAGATTTAAAAATAATAAAATATTTAAAAAATTAAAAATAATTTTTTTTTATATAAAATTGTGGGATCCACCTCTACAAATCCTTCCCCACCCATCTCCCCCCAACCTACAATCACCACCCCCTTTCTCTCTCTCAAATATTAAAAAAATTATTATTTTTATATAAAATTGTGGGATCCATCTCTACAAATCCTTCCCCACCCATCCCTGCCCTTCACCACACTCTCTCTCTCGCCTCTCTCTCTTCTCTCTCCCTACAACCTGCATCCTTAAAATTCCAAAACCCAGAAACCCTTCCCACCCGTCCCCCCCCCCTCAAAACCCTCCTCCACCACCCACCCTCTTCGATGCCAAGGAGACTGACGATGGCTTCACCCGCAACACTTCGAGCTAGTCCCTGTTCATGTACAAAAAAAAAAAAAAAAAAACCAAATAGTCTTCCCCACCCCAGCCCACCCCCAAATCAGAGAAACTCATTCTCTTTCTCAAATCCTTAGCCCCAAATCAAAGACAGTCCATCTCTCTCTCTAATCCCTGCACCATTTGGATAGGAAGGGTGAGGTCGAAGTCGAACAGAGCCGCCTTCTCGAGATTTGGGAGGTTTGATGAGATTTTGAGTTTTGAGATTTGTAATGGGTTTTGGGATTTTGGGGAGGCGAGCAAGAGAGAAAGAGAGAGGAGAGAGAGAAGGTTGGTGGTGGAGGAAGGTTTGGGGGGGGGGGGACGGGTGGGAAGGGTTTATGGTGAGGAGAAAGGGATTTGGGTTTTTGGGGAGGGGGACACGGGTTAATGGGTGTTTTTATGGTTTTTGTTTTTATTTTTTAATATTTAGTTAATATTTAATTATTTTTAAAAATATTTTATTATTTTTTAATAGAAAGTGGGCCTCGAATCAAGTCACGTCAACATTTAATTGAGAAATTCACGATCAAGCTAACGGAAGGTATAACATTGGACCAAATTCTAAAGATGAGGTATGACATTGTCAATTTTAAAAGATGAGGTATAATAGTGTCGTGACACCCATAGTTGAAGTAGTTTTTTGTCATTTACCCTATGTGTTAATTATTTATTAGCACATGAAGTCCACGAAAGAAGGTTCACGAATGTAGTTTCATTTTCTGTACTAATGATAGTTTTTAGAGCATTTTCAATAGAGATACTAAAAGTTTATATGTAAAAGTAACATAAAAATTTTCATGGGAGATGCAAATGTTCTACTCCAGTTTGTGAAATGTAAATTTGAGATTTCATCTTCTCATTTTAAATAGTGGAAGCTTCTGAAGATATAAAAAATGTGAATTTATATTTTCAATCTAAGAGCTCGTTTGGATGTGCTTTTGAAATGATTGAAAGCGTTTTTTATGAAATTGTTTTTGGAACCAATTCTTAGTAAAAATGCAAGTAAATTCTGGAAAAGCACTTAAAGTGCTTCCTGGAAGAAGCACAAGTTATGTGATTCTTCCAGGAAGCACTTTAAGTGCTTTTGAAATAAAAAAAAAATTTATTTAAAAGCGCTTTCAGTAATTATAAAAGTACATTCAAACGAGTTCTAAAATGGCTATCTTTTTTTGTAGAAAAAAAATGATAGTCATTAAGAATTGATATAAAATACATACAAGATAGTAGGATAGGGTGCATATTTAATGAGCCTTGATAAAAACTTTGCCGAAGATTTCAACACGTCGAAGAAAAAAAAGCGTTCCGCACCAATAAAATAACATGGTTAACTATCCTCTATCAGGATGTCCAAGACACATCCGGAGGTTTGAATACGCCAATTAGAAACTTTTCGGCCAATAAAAAATATAAAATACTCAATCTAAAGTATCTTGCTTCTTAAAATGAACTAAAACTTGTTTGGTAAATGCTGAAAACTAAAAATTTAATTATTAATTGAAAACCAAAATTTTGATTTAATTGAAAATGGAAAACTGAAGTTGGCTGAAAAATAAGTTTTCAATTTCTAAAAAGGTGAAAACAAAAACAAAAAACAACACAATTGTGAAACGATCCCTTCAAAAGAAACAATAAAAATTAGTATGGAAGCTTTGTCCTAGACGACATTGAAATCATGGTTCCGCCGCCACTAGCGTTCTTCAATTTAGTTTCCTTTGGAAGCAAAAGAAGGGAACAAAGTATCAACAAGCCCAGGGAAAGATCTTTACAACTAAGAACTCCAAAACAAAATATGAGTTCAAATATATGAAAGTACAAGCATCACAAATGGTATGAACATGTTGACATGAAACTATAAGCAAACTGTTCGATCAAACTTCTACGGTCACTGAATTACATTACTCAGCAAACTGTTTGATGAAGGCGAGCTCTGATCGCTTAACCACGTATCTTGAACAGAGACCGATGAATTATCCTTGAACTTTTTGCTCGAATTGAAGCTACTGGCATCTCCACTCTGCAGTGCATTGACGCTTCTCAGTGATCGGGATTTGGTAATATTTAGAGGCTTTTCGCTCACGCTAGATGAAGAACAGCAAGAGGATCCGTCTGATGAAGCTGTGTATGTGTTTTCTTCTGAAGATGGCCATTTACTTAGCTTGATGAGCTCCAACTCGGCTGTCACTTCTATCATAGTTGGTCTCATGTCTCGTTGAAATGCAAGGCATCTGAATGCCAATTCGGCGACCTTATGAACTGACGAAAGAGTCCAAGCGTCATCCAAAAGGGGCTCGAGAAAAGGGTCTATGATCTCATTTAGACACCCCCTTCCTATTCTGTCAGTGGCTAGAGCTGCCAAGTTCACTTCATTCTGGGGGCGGGTAAAATCTACCGCTTTTAACCCTGTTATTATCTCGACAAGCACCACACCGAAACTATAGACATCGCTTTTATCGGAGAGATGGAAGTTCTGATGGTACTGAGGATCAAGATAACCCGGAGTCCCCTGTGGAGCCGTTGAAATGTGGGAGGTTTCCGCCATCCCAAGCCTCGAAAGGCCAAAATCCGCGACTTTGGATTTGAACTTGCAATCCAGAAGAATGTTGCTCGACTTGATGTCTCTGTGGTATATCGGAGGCTTAACAGCCGAGTGGAGATGGGATATTGCTTTCGCAGTTTCAGCGGCAATGGTCAGGCGTGTGAGCCAAGAAAGTCCTTCCCCTCTCTCTCCTTGCAAATGCTGACACAATGTCCCATTCCCCATGAACTCGTACACAAGAATCTGCTCACCGCGTTCAATGGAGCAACCTAATAACCGGACTAAATTCGGGTGCCTTACCGATGAAATGAGCTTGATCTCGTTCATGACTTGGTCAATGCTTTCATGTCCTCTGTGTTTAATTCTCTTTATGGCAACCCATTCGTCGTGGAGTTTTCCTGCGTAAACTGTTCCATAAGCTCCGGTTCCCAGCCTTTGCTTGTCTGAGAAGCTATTCGTGGCTTTTTCGATTTGTTTGTAGGAGTAGAAGGGAATGTCGCAGTTGCCAGTAGCTTCGGATAGAAGGCGTTTCGTGGAGTGTCTCGCTTTCAGCTTGGATTGCCGCCGGATGAAGCAGCATATCAGAGCCAGACTGATCATTAAAGAAGCTCCAACAAACACAGCTGAGAAAAGAAAAATTCCCGGATTAAAACGAATATCTATTCCCCTCATGGTAGAATATCGTTGTATAAAACAAAGGACCGCTATATTGTTCGACATTAATTAGTTAAAAGAGTTAATCAGCTACCTCCAATCAAAACGATAAACCTGGCCTTTCCTCCACATTCTCCAGACAAGTATTTTGCAGGGTTGCAAGTCGATGAGACTGTCAATTTACAGAGCACAAATCACAGAGTTAAACCTTGCATTTGTAAAGATTGCCGTTTCACATTCTCATATACAAGAATTAATCTGGTGTTGGAATAATTAATCCACGAGACAAATTTAGGGTCGTTCGATAACCATTTTGTTTTCATTTTTAAGTTTTCACTTTTCTGAAAACTGAAAACGAAATAGTTATCAAATGACTCTCAAAACTTAAGGCCAAAATTTGAAACTCAAGAAAGTAGTCTTCAATTTTTGGATTTTTATTTTTTTGAAAACTGAAAGTAGTTACCAAATGATATTTCAATTTAAAAAAAAAAAAAAACTGAAAACAAAATGATTATCAAACTATCTTTACGAGATAAACAATGAGAATAACAGTTTTTCCAAGTTACGTAGGAGATTATCGATATAGGATAAAAAATGAATATGAATCTGTTGAATGTTGATCAACTTAGAATTGCCCTATGTATTTGAGAAATTTTTGTGTGTGCCAGTCAACGTCCGTAGAATTACTAATTTCTGTTTTATTATACAAGCAGATGACATCGTTAATACGTCACATATACATATATTAATAGGTTGAAAACACTAGATAATATTTAATACAATGACACAACCTAAATTATCAGATGGTTAATGTAACTCTGAGTTTTCTTCAAGTTTGCAAAATGCAGCTGACTTGGTGACCATTCACACTAAAAATGGACATCATAGTTTAGGTCTGCCAAACTCTGAGTAGACTTACTTATGCTTCTTAGTATGTCCTGTGACATCTCATAAAATGTAGGCAAATTTCTCTCGAGCTAATATTATTAAATTCTTAAACACATAGGATAGAGAATCAAACTTATCTACGCAATGACTAAAAGATGATTAAAGTCCCATCTAACTCAGTGTATTAGGTGAAACAAACCCATCCTTGAGGAGACCTATGGGGTCATCTTATCTCTTTGTTTTTATTTTTCTTTATTTTTGAGTCTAATAATATCTCTTTTCTTTTTCTAAAACAAGCTGAAAACAAAAAAAAGAAAGAAAAATAACGTCAAGTCTGATAACGTGAGTTTATAACTATGCAAAGAATTAAAGTGATTTATAATGGTTACATGATTCATTATCCTCATCTAAGGTCGAACCAAGCATGCTCTAAACTCTCCTGTTATTGGGCCACCACCAATAAATGGGTAGCAATTCACACCTTGACAAAGAAAAAAAGAAAAAAAACAACAATGATGGACCAGTCCCACAAATTGATAATATTATGGATTGCAAGCGCATTTTAGGGCCCACTTAGTTAAATATTTAAGTTCCCTCAAAATAGTAAAGTCGTCACAAAACAACATTTTATAGTGATATTTTTCTTTACTTGTAAATAAGATGTTTTAAATTTGATTCTTTTATTTTGTAGCTGACCAAAATCTCCACCTTTGAGTGTATTTTTTTTAATTATATATATTAAAAAAATGGTATGCAAAAATAATGCATATTCTAATATGGCTGCTATATAAGCACATATAATATTGTTACAAAATCAAAATAATGCATACAAAAATGTAATAAAATAATTCCTATGCTTGTTTCGTAGTGTGCTGTTCTTATGCTACTATCTCACCTAACGATATCTATAGAAAGCAAATTTGTATCTAAGCTCATGGACTTTTTGTATTATGGTGGTATGTGATCCTAAAAATAAGAGTCAAAGAATATTAGGTAGGACCCTAAGCATGCATTGGATTGTTTTAATTGGTTGGCCCCTTATCTTTTGTGTTTTATCGATTAAGGCAGTTTTGACATGTGAACCGAAAATCTTCAAATGTTACGGTTAGAAAATACGATTATGAAAAAAAAGTTCGGGTCAAAAGTTGTAGATGACAACTTAAGAAAACTTGAAAAAACTCTAAGAAAAGACATAGAGTACTTGGAATTAACAGAAGACTTGACACAAAACCGAACGCAGTGACGTTCTAGGATTCATACCGCCGAAGCTACCTAGTAGAATAAAGCTTGTTGTTTGTTGTTAGTGCATAGCTAAGTTATTTTCTTATATTTTACTTTTGATACATCCATGATCCACCATGGACGAGTTGAAAAAGAATGATCAAATGAGCAAGAAGGATAAGTAATTAAGCAGAAGTAATCAATCAGGAATTAAGCAGATGTAATCAGTAATTACCTTTCCTGCAGCCTAACCCAGCAACGTATCCATCTCCACCAAACCCCTCCTTGCAGTTGCATCTATACCCTTCTGTCCCATTTGGCGATACGACCGTCGTACAATTGGCGTTCTTATCACACCCGCAAGTTCCCTCAAGCCACCACTCTAACTCCACCACTTCCACCTCCAGCAACAGCGGCGCTGAGCTATTCAAAAGTTGCGGCGACGGCGCCGAAATCGACGACAGCAAGAACTTGCAGTCCTTCCGCTCGACGCTCCCAACGTCCAGAAATCGGACATCCTTTCTGGTCTCGGCGTAGCAGCTGAGGCTGCTGTTGGCGCTGCAGTTGGGTGGCGCGTCGAACCGCGCCTGCACCAGAATGTCGGGTATCTCGCAGCTGCTGGACGGCCTACCGTCCGTACAGTTCCGTAAAAGAATCGCGTTTCGTGACGTCGGGGCGTAGTTCCGGCTGTACAGGTGGCGGAGGGTGTGGAGGGGGCGGTTGCAACTGCTCTGGAGGTTGATTCTTATGTTGTCCTGGGTTATGGACTGGATTGGAAACTCCCCGATTGCGAATCCGCTGTTTGGAGGGCAGTTAAGCTGGATTTCGCAGCCCGATGAGAACCCGAAAGGGTACTGAATCGGGCCGGGAACGAAACTCGGGCACGATTGGTTGCAGTGATTTGAATCATTTGATGCATGGATGGTGAGTAGTGGAAAAACAAGTACGGATAAAATTAGGGTGAAAAAACTCATACCGAGTACGTAACAAAATCACAAGGTTTCTAAATTTGGTGTTTGGAAAATTAAACGCGTGAGCTTTTGGTTCTTCAACAAATGAATTTCTGGCTTTCAGAATACGATCTAATGTGCTGGCCTTTAGAATATGATCTAATCCGTGAACGAAACGACAGTTCTTAGGAGAAAACGAGCGTGCGACAAGGAGCGGACTTCATAGCTTACACACTAGGGTATATGACACGGGTCTTGCCTTGGTGTTTTTCATGAGAAAAAGAAATAGGCTTTACTAAATGACAAGACAATTCGTTTTGAATCTTGGAATGAAAATTTCGTTTGAGACACGAGACAAAGGAGGATTAGTGATGATAATTATTCTTTGTTTATACTAACGGACCAAAATGAAAGGTTAAAAATCACGCTTGTGAAGTGGATATATGATTGCTCACTTTTAAAAAGAAAGAAAAAGGAAAATGAGGACATAATAAAAAATAATGAAGATAATATTACAAAACACGAGTGAGTTTATGAGTACTGTAATTTATAAAAGAAAAAATTGATTCAAATTTAAATGTAAGGAGACAAGCATGCTTCTTTGACCAGCCGGTCTAACTTATATATACTAGAATGTCGAGCGTTAAAACGTACAGTTACAATTAAGCAGTGCAAACGTATAGTTACAATTAAGCAATGTATTCAAGTGATTAGATATATAGAAGATTTAATCAAGGAAGATATGCGCCAATGACGATATTTCATAAACCCAACTAAGGAAAGCTAATATTTCAATTTTTTTTTTTTTATACAACGATATATTTACATTAAGAGGTGAAAAAATTAATTGATATCGAACTTACTGTTTATGAGATTAAAACTTAAAATTTCTTAATTACAAATGAAAAATAAAATAATTATATATTACACTAAGTGACACTGATATTTCAACTTTATACATACTAATTGCAATCTTGTTTATGAACCCAGATCCTCTTCGGATCCCCAAAAATTGAGCCTAAGGATCAAGTGATTTGGGCTATTGAAATTTAATCTAACAGCTACAAATATGAGGTCTCTTTAAAGTTATAATAATTGTAGTCATTGAATCAAATTTCAACGGCTTAGATCACTTGATCCTTAGCTCAGATTTTTTGGGTTAGGAGAGGATTTGGGTTCCTTGTTTACCGTCAAAGCAGATATTTGATAATCCCAACAAAGGAAAAGCCAATGCCCTGAAAATAGGGGGAAATGACACTACATGCAAAAGAGGATCCCACACTTAGAATACGAGGGCAACATCTTGGTGTTGATCCTAACTATTTATATCCTTTTTTAAGCCCAAATCTCCTATGTCTTGAAAATTTTATAAGTAGAATATGAATATACGGTAATGTTGATATGTTTTATTACTCGAATAAAATAATAAGATCACGACAACACATGATGAGTACATAATAAAATCTTGAATCCTATCAACACACATATAAAAACTAAAAACAGCTAAAACAGAAACCTTTTTTTCAAATACATATTTTGAAAATTCATAAATCCTATATATATATATATATAAGTATGTACATTCATAAATCCTATATATATAAGTATGTACATCTCAGCTTAAATAGAAGAAATAATGCATATTTGAGTCAAATGACATAAAGTCAATGAGTTGAAATTTTAATCATATGATTCTCAGCAGCTATGATTGCTCTTCTTTTTTCTTTGGCAATAAATCTTTGCTTTCACGATCATCAATCTTACAGAAGACGATAGCCTGGGAAATGAGATCTACTACGAATCTTTAGGTCCGGAGCTCGCAAATCGAAAGCTCGCCGTTCAAAAGAGAGAAAAAAAAGATTTGGCATGTTTAAAATTTTAAGTTATTGTGAATAAAACTAGTAAAATGAGCTAATAAAAACCGTAAAATTAAAATGAGTAGTATAAATTTCTCGTCCACTGACTATAAACGTAAAGATCAAAAGTGGATTCATTGGTGGTGGGTGTGGTCCGTGTGGAAATGGACTCTTCACCTTTGGACTTTGAAAATTAAATAACGTATATTATAATGTACGAACGATCATATAATATAGCACCAATTTGCTATTATTTCACGGAACCGTAGCATTTGTAATGCACACTCAATTTGACCAACAAAATTTAGTGGCTTATTATTCCCAATCCCATATACTTTGACTGTTTGAGTATTTGATTTAACTTAAAATAATATTAATAATGCATCACTTTTTTTTCTTAGCACTACAAAATTAGAGTTGATGTTTTACTAATGTATTTAGATCCGACATGTTTAACGAGTTACATAAGATAATCTAAACATCAGTTAATCAAACTTTTTCACTAATCCAGTCATCAACAATAGGGACGTTAATGTACAGAAAGAAGAAAACAATTAAAAGGATAAAAAAAAAAAAAACAAAACTATTGCAGAATTATTGTTTTGTTGAATATGTAGCTTTCATTTCATTCATGGCCTATTCTCTTCGTGATCTAATTTGTCTCAGTTGGTGTTTCTAGAATCTCACATTTGTTTATGTTTGAATATAGTTTGTGTCTTTAAAATATTAGATCACGAGAGTAACAGTAGTTATGCTAATTCCGTGATTCGAATAGTTATGCTAATTCCGTGATTCGAAGTAAATTATGGATATATATATATAGGAAGTGTTATTGGTACTTCAAAAATCTCATTGTACACTCTTCACAAGTGTATTTTTCTTTCCAAATATAGAAAGTTTGAAGTGTAAAATGAGATTTTTGGAATGTCAATATCTTTTATATATATATAGATATATATATGAGACAGCGTATGAAGTTATTAACCACCTAATGCAAAATCTTGCAGCTCCTTCTGGATAGAATGTAACCTAGATTTACTTTTAAAAAAATCCAATCATATAGATTAGATAAGAATACATAGGACACTTGACAAAACTTGAAAGATATAATTGTTACAAATAGTAGCGATGAGAAAAAAAAAATTAGTGTATCAACGCAAGTGTGTAGTTATGAATGTCGAAATATCATTATTTGTTCTTGATTTGAAATTTTAACCAATAAATTAAAATGTAATATTATATATATATATATATATATTATTTTTTTTTCTAATAAAAAGGGATCAATTGATGGATTCGTCACTGCAGTTCACATTTTTGGAGGCTAAAAAAACTCACAGAAGCATTTTAACTTCTCCTTAGCCACCATCGTGTAATTCACCAGCGTCAGGAATCGAACCCAAAACATATCGTGTGAAATACAAACCTGAAATTCGTTCCCAACAACTGAACCACCCATGGTGATAGTAAATAAAAAAGTAAAACGTCACCTTTTTCTTTTTTTTGTTAGACTATACAAGATGAACTTTAGGAACTTGGTGAGAAGCATCATCGTGAAGTTGAGGAGGGTTTGATCTGGCAACTTAACTGATTATTATACAGCAGAAGTGGACCACTATAACGTTTGATCAACATTAAAAATGTGAGATGGTTGAAGCTAGTGAATAAGTACGTTAAAGTAGCAACGATAGTGCGTGATTCTTGCAATTAAATTCGTTTAACCTGGCAACTTGGCACGTTCATCATATAAATTATAAACGTCAATGGATTCCACCAACTATTTAGACTATAAATTAACTAAATTATAAGTTCAAGGATGCTTCTTAATAACATGATCGAAATAAGAAGAATATTAGGGCTCTTGTTTTAGTTTTACTTTACCTACACTAGTACAAAAACATACTTGTGCGATGAAAACTTGCGCGACGGAGTAAATTATGTTGTGCAAGGACATTTTGCGTAACGTTGACAACTAAGCGTCACGCAAGGACATTTTGTGCGACGAAGCATTCCGTCACACAAAACTGTTTAGCGCAACGAAGATGTACCTTCGTCACGATATGTTAGAAAAAAAAAAGGGTGAAAGTCTTGGCAAATTTTCTTTGCACAACGGTGAACCAAAACGTCGCGCAAAGGTCGTTTACGCGACGCAGTTGGTCCATTGCGCATTTTCTAGCACCAAATCAAGGCTTTTACCGTTTTTTTCCCAACATTGCGCTATGAAGGTACACCTTCGTTGCGTTAAACAATTTTGTATGATGGACCGTCGAAAAATTTCAAAATATATACAAATAAGTTTGACGGTTGGATCGTTACATACAAGTTTGTCCAGTTACATAATCTTTGAATGTTTTTTTTTTTTTTTTTACGATTTTTGACATATGCGATCTTGAAGTATATACAAACAAGTTTGACGGTTGGATTGTTGAAACTAATTTTGTAGAATGCGTATCACATCAAAACGATATATTCACTAAAAATTAGAGTTTATTTTATACTTTCATTAAGTATAACATAAGATTCCACTAGTATAAATATTTTAAATTGCAGATCGAATTCATTCATTGTATTCATATAGGGTCAAGGAGTGTAATTGTGAAAAATCATCAAAATCGGAGTTAAAATAACCGTTATATCGTGATTTTTCGTTTATAACGGTCGAAAAGTTTTGTCCCGTTACATAATCTTTGAATGTTTGTTTTTTGCGATTTTTGATATATGCAATCTCGAAGTATATACAGACAAGTTAGATGGTTGGATTGTTGAAACTAGTTTCGTAGACTGCGTATCACATCAAAATAATAGATTCACTAACAATTAGAGTTTATTTTATACTTTCATTAAGTATAACATAAGATTCCACTAGTGTAAATATTTTAAATTGCAAATCGAATTCATTCATTGTATTCATATAGGGTCAATGAGTGTAGCTATAAAAAATCATCAAAATTGGAGTTAAAATAACCGTTAAATCATGATTTTTCGTTTATAACCGTCGAAAAGTTTTGTCCTGTTACAAAATCATTATGACACGCCCCAATCCTGATGTATGTGGGACATCGAGATGGTCACTTGCTGGCCGACATCCAAGGATGACGAAAATCATTTGTTGAATGCAAATGCTGAGAACAAGAAATAAATAAGACTTATAAATTTAAAAATAATGAAATGCAAGTGAGGAACGTGTTCAAAGTATATAACTAACTAGAACACTAAAATAAATAATATAAAATTGAATAAATAAAAAAATGGGTCCTACACTGAGAGGACTCGAAGATGCCGAAGCGGAAGTGCCTTGACGCTACGATCGTACGTCTCGAATCTAAATCCTAAGGGGGTGTAAAACAAACATGAGTGTAACTAATTGATATATATATATATATATATATATATATATATATATAAGAAAATAGTTATCAACATACTAACCCCCAAAGTTTTATGAAAACTAATAGCATAATAAGTTATAAGTTTTTCCGAAAACCCTAGCATGCTATAAAACATCTCATAAAGCATATCTTGTATATAGTGTGCTTGTAGACATTGAAATTTTAGTAAAATAAATGTTGATCAATGTATTAAAATTACAACCTTCACTCATTTCACCTACAACTTCCACTTACTTCACCAACCTCACACACTTATTTCACCTACATCACACACTCATTTCATCTACAACTTCCATTTACTTCACCAACCTCACACACTTACTTTACCTACCAACTCCATTTACTTCACCTACAACATCCACTCACTTCACCAAAAAAAGGGATGGTGGTGATTCACTCTCAAAGCCTATAAATAGGCTTCTCCATCAAGAGAAAAAGAAAAAACGGGAATTTACATCACACCAAAACCTTGAAGCCTTGAAACTCTAAAGCTCTCAAGCAAATCCCGAAGGATCAAGAAAGCACTCTTCGTTCTTCGTCAAATCCTCCTTCAAGATCAAGCCCCAACGGCCCTTGAAGAACTTCCACCAACTCAAGATCAAGCCCCGACGACCCTTGAAGAAAGTGTTCATCATCCGTTTATCCTGAGATCAAGCCCCAACGGTCATTTGAATCAACAACCTCAACAAATCCACACATCCAATCGTTCTTCAAGATTAAGCCTAAAATCCCTTGAAGATCCGTTCATCCTAAGATCAAGCCCCAACGGCCCTTTGGATCAACAACCTCAACAAATCCACACATCCAATCATTCTTCAAGATTAAGCCCAAAAGCCCTTGAAGATCCGCTCATCCATCAATCTTCAAGATCAAGCCCAAAAGCCCTTGAAAAAATCCACACAACCATTATTCAAGATCAAGCCCAAAAGCCCCCTTGAAGAACTTCCACCAACTCAAGATCAAGCCCCGACGACCCTTGAAGAAAGTGTTCATCGTTCATCATCCGTTCATCCTAAAATCAAGCCCCAACGGCCCTTTAGATCAACAACCTCAACAAATCCACACATCCAATCGTTCTTCAAGATTAAGCCCAAAAGCCCTTGAAGATCCGCTCATCCATCAACCTTCAAGATCAGGCCCAAAAGCCCCTTTGAAGAAATTTGCACAACCATTATTCAAGATCAAGCCCAAAAGCCCCCTTGAAGACCTGTTCAGCAACCTTCAAAGATCAAGCCCTGAAGGCGGCCCTTGAAGAAACTTCCCTCAACCTTCAAGATCAAGCCCCAACGGCCCTTGAAGAGACTTCAAACCGTTCATCCAAGATCAAGCCTCGACGGCCCTTGGATCAATCGCACATCCACAAATCAACACCTTACGGAGATCGAATCAGAGGATCAAATTACAAAGAGATTGTAACCCCAAAATCATTAATTAATACAAAATATTATTTTGTACGCGTGTTCTTGTTTCAGGAATTTTTCGTGTTTACAGTGCTAAATAGTGGTATCAAATAATAATATCTCCCGGCCCAATGCCTACTCCCAAGTCTTTGCGCCCGTAGCCAGAGATTATTTCTCCCAGCCTAATGCTTGCTCCATGTCCTTCGGTCCGAAGCCAGGGATTATTTCTCCTAGGCTGCAGCCAACACCATGTCCTCGCCCCTAGCGGAATAGTGACCACTAGATACACACAAGACATTGAACATAAACTTTCCAAACATAGGTACATATATCTCAAAATCATCTTCATAATATAAAGTCGTCCATCATCTATACTATAAAGAAGTGTGTGAAAATATATTCTAAATAATATATCGACATCAATTAGATACCCTATAAGAACATAGGTTCGATAGAAAATATGATATTCCAAAATAAACTTAATATAGCATGATATTCAATTTCTCATAAAACGTTCACAATACGTATTCAGTAAATCATGATTTTCATGTATGCATCTCTACTATTAAAACATGCATTTTAGAAAGGGTCCACTCACAAATACTCTGTCGTAGAAGAGCTGTACGAAATAGGAACAACGGAATCGCCGCTAGAAATTGCACCTAAACACATAAAGAGTACAATTAACAAAACTATACTCAAACGATTTAATTTGGGAGAACATACATCAGAAACGGGTCCAAGAAGTCGAAATTAGCCTAGGAGGAGTCCCGAACGAAACCCGAAAAAATCAACGAAAAGTCAACGTTGACAGTTGACTGGTCGAAGTCAAAGCTGATCGTTGACCGGGTCAAAGTCGACGGGTCAGAGTCAACTGGGTCAAGGGGGTTGGGCCTAAAAGGTTTGGGTCCAAGGGTTTAAAGGGTTTGGATTTTAAACCCGACCCACTGTAAAGTGGTTTTGGGGTTTAAATAAAAAGGGATTTGGGTTGGGCTTCGCATGGCTTGGGCCTCTGGACATTTGGGCTCCAAGTTTGGGTCAAATGGGCTGGGTAACCCGGCCAAGGCCTGGGTTAAGGGTGGTTTTCAGGCACCCTTTGGCCGGTTTCTAGGTTGATTTTCCAAGGCTCATAACTTCTTCGTTACTCAACCAAATGAAGTGATTCAAAAACGAAAGTTGTAGTACTTGACGAATGGAAGAGAATGGTATGTTGCATGATGGCTAGCTCATCATGGTTTGGCCAGAAAACGCCTCGAAAAGGGCAGTGCTTGCCGAAAAATTTGGAAAAGCTACTCCGAGCTATTTTTTTGCTATTCACACGTATACACAACTTAAAACAACCTTCGATCTAACCTTAAAACTCGTCCCAAGGGTTTTTAGAAGCTTACCAATGTCGAAAAATTACGACAATGTTGGGGAAGACGATTTTTGACATATGCGACCTCGATGTATATACAAACAAGTTTGACGGTTGGATCGTTGAAACTAGTTTTATAGAATGCGTATCCCATCAAAACGATATATTCATTAACATTTAAACTTTGATTAAGTATAACATAGGATTCCACTAATGTAAATATTTTAAATTATAGATCGAATTCATTCATTGTTTTCATATAGAATCAAGGTGTATAGCTGTAAAAAAATCATCAAAATTAGAGTTAAAATAACTGTTCAATTGTAGTTCGGATGAAGATTAATGTAAAATTGTTAAATTGAATGATATATATATATATATATATATTAAGTAGCTTTAAATTTTATTTATTTTGTATATATAGTAATTTTTATAATAATTTTTTTTAATATATGTTGCGCGATACCATAATAGGATCCTTGCCAAACAATTTATTATAATAATTCCTTTTCTTTTAAATACATCTTGCGTGACGCCACAATAGAATCGTTGTGCAAACACCCATAGTGCGACATCATAATGTATTGTTAAAATTTTGGCGGTCTAATTTAAAAAAAAGGGCGCTTTTTGTCTTGTAGAACCCTAGGCTAGGTGTTCTCATTCTTCCCTTCAGAGACCACTCCAGTTCAAGTCTTCCCTCAGTCAGTTCAAGTCTTCTTCTCCGTCGTCTTCCTCCGGTTCGTGGTTCTCCAGCGTCGTCCGGGGCCGGTCGGAACGGGCCGAGTCCGTCAAGATGGGAGCAGACTCCCTTTCGGGCGATTCCGGCGACAATTCCAGCCCTGTTATGCTGAAGAATCAGTTCCGAGGCGTGCTCTTCAAGTACGGCCCCAAACCTATTCAGGTCTGTCTGTTTCTCATGTCAATTTATGCTTTTTGTTTCTGGATTATGCTGCATTTGAGTAGTGATTGAGTTGCGAGAGCTCGATCTCTGTTTGGAAGTTGGTAATTTGAAATAATTGGGGCTATTGGTGCCATTTCGTTGTTGAAAAATGCAGATTTTAACTGTTTGGTGGTCTGAATTATGTTAATGGTGAGTTGGGAAGATTTGAAATTGGTGTTTAAAGTATTTTTTGAGCAGTTTCCAATTACTGAGATTGGTATTTTGAAAGAATGGGGATGATTGGTTCCATTTTGCTATCGAAAAATGCGATTTTTAACCGTTAGCTAGTCTGAATTATGTTATTGGGATGTTGGGAAGATTTGAATTTGGTGGATAAAGTTTATGCCAATTATTGAGATTGGGATTTGAGGTGAAATGCTGGAGCTTGGGTGAGAACTTAGAAGGTTAGGATGGGTTTTGGCACCATGCAAAAAATAGATGTGTAGTAGTTCACCGGCCGCTATTGAGGGAGAACAGCATTTCAAGAATGATAGGATTTTCAAAGTCATTTGTTTCAATGCTATTTATCTATGGAAAATAAGAGGAGAAATTACCTGGTTCTGTTGTTGGAAGATTCAGTTGTGTCTACTGCTCTGTAGACTGTACCTATTCCTTTTTGTTCAATAAAACACATTGCTCCCCGTACAAAATGTTGGAAGGTTCAGTGAGCTGCTTCAAGAACACAAGTTTCATGCCTTTTGGTTGCAGTGGTTTGGTTAACATTTTGCAAGATTAAACTTGTAAACTAGATTTCTGTGTAAATTGCTCATAGAATTAAGTATTTTGGATTTTAGAGTAAACCCCAGCATTCAAATAAAAAAAGTTACTATCGTAGTAGAGGCTAGTTCAACCAGATCATACTATGGATTTTTTTTATCCTTTTTCCAGTGTATGTCTTATGCAAGTCATTTTTTTCTTCGCAAAATCATCAATTTTCATTTAATATAAAGTTCTTGCTGTTTTGTTATTGTTGTCGAGTGTAGTTCAGTCACTTTCAGTGTGCTCACATATAGGAGTCTATCTTGTATGCTTATATATACAATTTTCTTGATGATGAATGAGAATTATCCTTCCTATGCAGGTAGCATTTAAAACAGGTGATTATCGACAGCAAGTCATTTTTATTGGTGGACTGTCTGATGGTTTTCTGGCAACAGAGTGTAACACTGCTTGTTAACTTTCTTTTGAAGAGAAGTGATATTTTGTCTTCCATCACCAATGCTTGTTTGTGTGACTAGATTGCATCATATGTATGATTTTCACTCACAGCGGTTTTCTTCATTTAATAAACGCAAATTCACTGCATAATGTTTTGAGGTGCTTAAAGAAAATTTTGATAATGTGTTGTTCCCTTCTTATCTTTCTTTAATGCGATTTACAGATACTTGGAACCTCTTGCAATTGCTATGGACAAAGAGAAATGGTCACTTGTTCAACCACTCTTGTCATCTTCATACAGTCGATATGGCACTTCCAGCTTGAAACAAGTAACTATTCAACCAATCCCTTGATTTGTTTTATAGGTTCTTGATTCGTGCACCGTTCCTGTGTTTCTTTTAGAGTATGGTAAACAACATATCCTTGCAAGTTGCAAGACAGTTAGTTTTACTTGTATTGTATCTATATGTTTTAAAGGATCCATGGTGACTGGCTGGACCTTTCATCAAGTTTAGTTTGTTACATGTTTAAGCTTTCTGTCAGGTTCGTGTTGATTGCATTTAGACTTGAGCTTCTGAAGTTAATGAAAGCACTCATCGTGTCACTTTTCGATGCATTTAATTAGAATACTATGTTTTTGGTTCTGACTCTAGGATATTGTACTGCGCATACATGCTGTATGCTTCCAAGCAGTCTGTGCTGCCATTCTTTAGTTAGTGCCCTTTCCATACTCTGGTTCTACTATATTGAAATGAAAATTTGAATGTGAATAAATTCAAGATGCTAGACGTGAAGCACCTCATCATCTTGCCAGTTGTGTGCAAGTTGGCTCCGTTGTTTACTTGTCAATTCCACCAAATGTTCAGTTATAAATTGTAGGTGATTGATGTTCTGCTGAGATCCTGGATTAGAAGCTCGGTCATTGTCCTGGCAAGGTTGTTTGGGGTATGGGGTAAGCGCGGGTTCGTGAGACAGGTGCTTCCTCTTCCAGACCAACCACATGACAAGTCATAGTAAGTGGAAACCCTAAAAGATAAAATTGCAGCCCATGAAGCAGCTTGGGATGCCCAAGAAGCCTAGATTGCAGCCCAGTTTTCGATCCAGGATAAGAAGATGAGCATGATCTTACGGGCCTTACAGATGTTCAGCCTCCAAATTCCGATGCCATCACCTGATCTTGCTCCACCTTCGACCTTCCAGCCACTTCGCACAGTCGATACCCAGTAGCCTGATGCATCAAACCCAGACAACTACTTGTTGTAGTTTTTTCTTTTTTGTTCGGATAGCTTGTATATACATTTTCATATATTTTATAATTAAATACTTTTTCTTGGGTATTAATTATTGTTTATAATTTAATTAAAATATTTATACAAAATTAAATAAAAAATATTTTGTCAAAAAAAAAAAAAAGTGTTTGCACGACGATGATACTTGCATCGTGCATTTATCTTTGTGCAACAACGAGACCAAGATAAGTTGTGTGAAAACTTTTGCACGACGCAGGTATTGTCGTCGCGCAAAGACCTTTTGTGCGACACAGGTTACCCCTTTGTTGTGCAAACCCTACTTTCACTACCTTTGCACAATGATTTATGCGCGATGAAGTTTTCGTTGGGCTAATTTTCAGGCGACATGTTTTGACTTTGCGCAACGAACTATGCTTCGTCGCGCAAACTGTTATTTGTACTAGTGCTACCAAATTTTATTTTACCTTTCAAATTTTATTTTTCATACTGTCCTAGTTCACCCTAACTAAGTGAGTCAAATAGCCTTGAACAGAACAAAAAAAATAAGACCAACACTAGCGACCAAAAATTGGGGTCAGTGGCCAGGTTGGCTTGGCCACGTGAACGGATTCATACAGGGACTCGGTTGGTCCGGAACCCTCCGGAGGTCAGAAAAACGCCTATGAAGATCATCCAGGGAACTCTCCGAATGTTTCATCATGAGGGATGAACTTACCCTTCAAAGAAGTTTGTTTTGTTAGAAAAGATATAGTTATAGCCCAGTCGAAATTTTGGTACATCACATGCACCAGTTGCCTTGCGAGGAAGAAGATGTTGAAACCCTTTTTTTTTTTTTTGGAAGTTTTAACGAAACATTTCCGGTACTGTAAGGAGTATAGGATGAGATTTTTGAAGTATCAATAACACTTTTTTTTTATTTTTTAACCAAACAAATAAACTCTCTTTTTTGTCCTTCGTAACATGGTTTTTTTTTAATGACCTAACTAAGAACAACGTTTAAGCTTTAGGATTGAAATTTGCAATGTTGTTTTTACCATGATTTATAAGTGAAAAGTGTTATTGTTTAGACTTTAGACTATCTCTAAATGAAATGTCAAATTTTGAATATCAAATTAAATTTGACAACCTATGTGACATATTAATATCTTTTAAATTTTTTACTCTTCGATATGTTAAATTTAAAACATAAAATAAAAATTCATATTTATTTTCTATGCGTTGCATTAATTAGTAATAAAAGGAAATGAAAAGTAACAACCCATCTAAACATGCAATTGTTTTGTAACAAGATAAATTCAGATCTCACCATAAATCAAAGTCTACATGCAAAATGTAGTTTATAAACAGTACAAAACTTCAAAATAACAACGTACGTTTTTGGTACAGAAGAGATTAATCAAAATCCTAGACTGGTAGTCTGGTACTGACATATTTCACAGTCACTTGCGAGCGATGTCGTAAACTTTTGGGCGGCGGCAGCGACGAAGGGCCTAATAAATCAAGGAGCAGCAAAGGCATCATCAACCCACTTGTCTTCTTGAACTGAGAGGGAGGAGGGCGAGCTGAGGAGAGCTTGAAGAGCGGCTCGTACTCTGTTAACTCGCTTACGCTGGCGCATGCGCCGTAATACGACATCTTTGTGTAAGGGTTGGGAGGTGTGAGTGGGTTTTATATGCACATGGCTGCTCACGTAGTTATACTCATGCGTTTCTGCAGGTTCTTCTTGCTCTTCCTTCAAGTCGTTTCCGGTGATGTTCACGGCTTGTGACACGGAGGATTTAGGGTTAGAAAACATAGAGGAGAAGGGAGAAGACATTGTCTGGCGAAGTGAGAAGCTAAAAGTGGAAAGGAAGAACTGAAGGTGGGATTTAAGAGTGAGTGAGATGTTTCTCAAATTATATATAAAGAGAAAGAAATGGGGGTTTTGGAGGAAGTGCAAAATTTGGACGGTGAATTGAGAGAATCAGGGATGCAGCTTTGCAGGGAATATCAGAGTTTCATAGACACACAGCACGACCAAATCCGTGTTTTCTAACAAGGTCGGTTACTGTTCTTCACAACAGATGCTACCATATCTTGGAAAAGTATCATCTTTAGATCTCTTCCACTAAATTCATCCAATCACCTAATTTAGATTCTTAAAATTTGATTTAACGGTTAAAATTATTATAACTTTTAAAGGGATTCTCTATTTGTAGTCATTGAATCACATTTCAAAAGCTCGAATTAGATGATTTGGTGAATTTGATGAAAGAGATGCAGAGATGATCTTTTACCCTATATCTTAAACCCAATTGATACAGTAAAGCGCATAATTAATATGATTAAAGTTGATTGAGCTTAAACAGAATAAATGAATACCAACACAAAGAATATTTAATGGGATAAGGTTAGCAGGTTCTGTCAATCTCCGATAACTTTTTTGGAAGGATTGGATTCGAGAAATTTTTTATTGTGATGATAACACGAGTGGTACATTACGTATTTTTATGTAGGTGTCGAGAAATTTTATTTTTTAAATTATTAACTTTTTAACATATATATTTCATCATTTGTATAATTACACGTAATGCATCACCTCGTGTGCTGATCGTACTGGAAAAATCTCTCATTAGATTCTGTCATTGTTTTGGATTTACCTATATCTGTTGGATTTGATTATTTCAATGCATATAAAATCTGTATGTTTCTTTTTTAGGTCAAAGGTAACCTTCAAAATAGTCATTTTAGTACTAGTGCTTTCTTTATCTTTCAAAGGTGTGCACGATGAAAATTTCAAAGTGCATATAACAACTTTGTTGGGCATCGTGTTGTATATAGAATTGGATTCTAATGTATAAACTAATATTTTCAAGGTAAATTGAATGAATAAATAAAAGAAAAAATATTGTCTAATTTGGACATAGAAGATGGATTCGCTGAAGTTTTGGAGAGACATGCAAAATGGTCCACCAATGATACTGTTTCCAACTTAACCACCTGCTAGCCCATTATGAGTGAGATTTTATCCTAAAATGCCTTAATGTAACTAAGAATGAAACCATATAATCATATTATAGCTTATTTTTATCAAGTTCACGATGTGTGATTTCCAATAGAATCACTCGTGAAGAGCAATTATCCATATCAATCCACTCCAAAGTGATAGGATTAGAAGAGAGAAATTTTCTCCATGTCTAATCTCTTCAAAATGAAAGATCATTCTCCTCTACTTCATTATACTTTAAACTTGAAAGGGCTACTTATCTCAATCCAATTTTAAAACCGCCTTTTTTTTTTTTTTTTAAACGATAGAGATAGTGGGTTAAACTATTAGTTGTTAACAGAGAAGAGGGATCAGTAGGATCAAACACGCAACAAAGTGCATAAACATGATTACTTTCCATCACTGTGATAAAACGTCATCTGCAAAATTGTCTCATCTTTTAATCCAGTCTAATAATACATTGGACCAAAAGACCAGCTTTTGATACAACATAGATCACAGATAGGCCCATTTTTCCTAACCATTCTGGAAATCTAATGGATGTTTGGATTTTGCATTCCGTATCCATGCAGGGTTTATGGAAAAGGAAAGGGAAAACATGTAACATGTAAAACTACAAAGTACAAAGTGATACCAAACTAGGGTTTAGGGACAAGTTACTACGAAATTACTGTTGTTTTCACACCAAACTAATGGATCTTTCCAATTGAATACGGATGAAGCATACAGAAAATAATATTGACATTTACAGTGAAATTCTTTCAAGTACAGTAACATACATGTGTACGTACGTATGTGATTCTTTGGGGTCCCCGATTACGCAACTCTATATATATATATAAGATCAGTTCCAGTTAAAGTATAAGAAACATAGCTAAACCATATATATTAGAGCATTACGAGTTCTTAAATATGGAAAATCAGTTACTTACATGTCATAACATGGGACAATAGAAGAAGCAAAAGAAGGAAAAACACCTTTGCTTCTGAACTCTGATCATGTGCTGGTGATAAAGTTTCATCACATATATATCTTCACTTTTTGGAAATATTTTTTTTTTTTTCATTTGCGGTTAATCTAAAATGTGAAGAGAGAAGATTCAAACTCAAGATTTCAAGTGTAAGAGAGAGTACTCTTAACTAGCTAATTGAGCTTGCAATTAAATGATTTAATCATAATTAGTGAGAAGTTTCATAACTAGTATCTTTATAAGGGCAAGTGTATCCAGCTTATCATTTCAAAGAAATTAATTATTTTGTACAGTTTACATATAAAAATACCACATTAATACATTGTACAGACAAATCATTAACGACAACAATCTTTGCTTATTGGTGGGAAGCAAATAGGTAGGGTAGGTACAGTACGTGCGTCCCACTGCCACCAGAGAAGTAGAATAGATATAACCAACTAAAAAAAATAATGCTAGCGAGACCAAATTTGTAAATTAAATTTTTTAAATCAAATGATATGGTTATTGATGATTGGATTATTACTCAAGTGTTAATTAACGTGCTTATTTTTTATTTGTGACACATCATGTGGTTTACCAATTTAGTTTGAAAATTTGTTATCCCTAACATTATCCAAATAACAATGCACAACGTATAATTGGCTTCAAAATTACAATGCATGCACCGTGACATAAGTGAAAGCACATAATTTATCTTGATTACTTCTAATATATACAATGTTCGGTAAAGTTAAGATTAAATGCAAACGCATGTATAAAATAATTCTAATTTAAAGTATCCGACATTTACATGCGTGAGTTACTGAAGCTAGCACGCATTTGACAAAATGACATGAACCAATATGCATTATTCAAATTGAACGCTGATGAAGTTGGTTAAACCACATGTTTACACTTACACAACACTACATCGACAAAATTAGGCAATGTCTTGTACCTATGCACTATACACTACGTTGCATAGCATTATGCTGTAAGGAAGTCGCAAATACGTGGCCTCCCGACATGGCTCACTAAATGGTCCTTGGGCTCCATATCCTACTATGGTCCAAGTGCCCCAAATAATTCAAATTCCCGTACCCCAAACCCTAGAATTTCAGAAAGTGACAGAGAAACCGAAACCGTAGACGTGGCAGCTAGGAAGGTGACATTGGTACTTGGTCTCACACGTGTCACAGTATGAATGGCCGTACCAAACGTATAACGAAAGATTGTGCATCATGATATCACTGATTCCACATTTGCCGTTTCGACCCTCTTCGGTCTGGTCAAATCACTTTCCCTTCGGGGTAAGAACCGGTTGAATGAATTTGTAACCGACTAACGGCCTCTAACGGAAAGCAACAGCCTTGCCAAAACCCTAACGAATTAGTTCCATTACAATTTCTTTTCAAAAGGTTTCTTGGCCGTTTGCCATCATCAGAAAACTAGGGTTTCTTCGGGCCTTCGCGTACAAACAAGGAACTAAGGTTTTTTTTATTAACTGGTCATCTTGTCGTCATGTTCCACTTGATTTTATATATAGTGGTAAAATAAAAGGCTGCTTTTCTCCACCATTTCTTTTGTTGCCCATAAATTTCAATAGTGGAGCAAGGACGACGTCGTCGTAGATCGAATGATTGACACTCGAACCATATATGGAAGGCTATGGCTTGTTGTTTTCTTGTTGTTTACCCTTTTCTTTATGGTGATCAGCAGCTCCTCTGATTTATTATTCTGTAGTTTTGGGACAAAAGAGAGAGGTATTCTACATTTCAAATCAATTTTCTTTGTATTGAAAGATTTTATAAGGTGAGTTTCAACTCCCTAGCAATTTGGGCAATTGGCTGAGACGTTAAAGGTTCCTAATGAGTTTTGTTTATATATGATCAACAATTAGTGGATCCAAAAAAGGGAAACAAGCTAGGAAATATTGCATGGATATTAATACGTCAATTACTCTTACAATACCCCAAAACGAGAAATTTTTGTTGATTACCTGCAGACTATACTATAATTTTTTGATGAAAGTCGGTCTCGGTTCTATTGTTATTTTTTATTTTTTATTTTTTTTATAATTATTATTGTTCAAGGGAGGGAAAAAAGTACAAAACTAATACAATAATTTAGGAAAAGGGTAGTTTCCGATATGAGACGCGTAGTTGGAAACCCAATACCCTACCCTAGGGTACTGAACCACATTCAAACGTGTAGGCTCTTTGTCGATGCAATGTTCTTGACAATTACGTGCCATTAATTTTAAGTTTAATGGTGGACCACGAAGGAGCCTATTCCACAAGCATGAGATTGCCCTTTTTCTTACATTCACATTGCATGCATAAGATTATTGGAGCGTTCATGTGTGCCCGTGCTTAGGTTGTACGTAGTTCGTTAATGAAGATAATTTCTTTTAATTGTGTGTCAATTATTGATATTTGTTTCTCTTTTTTGCTAAAATGGCTATTTTTTAATTCGTTATATATCACCATCCATGTTCATACAGAATAGATAAAATGGATATCATCATCTTCCAACTGCCTGCACGTTAGTGGTGCATACATCTTTTCGTACTTTAAACTTTTTAACTTTAAACTAAAGGAAGGAGTCCGCTTAGCTACGTACGCTGACATTCTACCAGCATATGCATATGCTTGCCACCCACAGTAAAATAGTATTGCACTTTTCCTGGTCGGTGGTAAAAGTATAACATATTTGCAGTTTAAAGACGAACTCCGGCATTTTCCTCCAAGAAATTACATAATCATATATGAAGTAGCTATTGCTTTTATCGCGTCTAAGTTAAAATGTAGTTTGATAAGTAGGAATTGGCTATAATACGCTTACATGTATTTACCACAATCACTATGTGATGGTCATAAAGAATTTATGTGAATATATGTATTCAATATTATCATCATTTGACAGTCGAGATAATGATTATATTGAATACATATAAATATTGTAGCCAAATACATGATAGTAAAATTTAGAAGAGGAAGGAAAAACCAATGACCAACATCTGAGTGACACCAAACATTAGACTATAGTCCTAGACCCATAAGCATAACAATATAGAAATCACTCTGAATATAATGATTCGAAGCTAGAAAACACCACAATTACAAATATTTTTGTTTCTGGAACACAAATTATCATGCCAATTTGATCCAACTATATAAGAAACAAAGGCAATAAAACAAAGGCAAGAAATGATCACACCCAATTACAAAAATGAAGTCACAAATTTTAAAAGAGTTAAAAATTTCAAGGGCATTCAACCCAATTTAAACGAGTCCATAAAATTTTTAGTAACACTCAATTAGAATTTTAAAACGTGATAAAAGTTTATATATAGAAATTTGATTATATTGAATTACGATCAAAAGTACTCTATAAAAGATTTCAAAAAATGATAGATTCTAATAGAATTAAAGAAATCTTATAGTGTATTTTAAACCTTAACAAATTTAATTTTTCGCCTTAATTAAGATTTTAAGAGAGTTAATTCAAAATTCACGCGAAGTCTACTACAACTCCTAAGCTGAATTTATTATAATTCCTAACTAATTATCTCATACCTCCAACTACCAAGGGCTTTAGCTCACTTGCAATCCACCCTAATTTTTTCCCTTTTTCAAGGGCGGTGCTTTTTCTAATCTATACATGTTTTCTTCCTTTGGCAAGTGAAGGATGGTAAATTAAAGGATGTTGTGTGCTTAATTATGACAAAATCATGTCTCATAACACAACCATTTTGCATTGGATTTTGACCATTTAGTAAAAGGGCAGTATAATTAGAAATTTTCAACGTGTTTGAAACACGGACACATATATGTATGTCATTATATAAGTAAAAAATACTTGAAAAAAAATAATTTCACTCCACTTATATAATAACATATAGCGTACCATCAAACGTTTCATACGCATCGAAAAACCTTTCCAGTACAATATATGACATAAAACCCTAAACCGCCAAGGAAAACAACTCTAACATAACACCCCAAAATAGCAAATATACAGAGACCACCCAACTGACCCAAGTCCAGCCGGAACGGTATAACACACATACTTGCTATTCTGAGCGTCCGACCCGGATTCTCCGGAACCCGAAAACCCTTTTGCCACGCAACCCCAACGTATCCACCCCACACGTGTCAAAATCACAACGGCCCTCAAATCCCTATTTATATTTATATAGTCCCCCGCTCTCATCTCCCGCCTTCTGTTGTTCATTTCGTAAATTAATTCCTTACATTCCTTACATTCCTTAAGCAGTTGGCCACCTCTCTCCATTTTCTCCTCCCACCATTAATTAACACCCACATCTCTCCAAATTCAAACTTTAAAATCTTTTAGTTTAGTTTGATTTAATTTCCGTTTTAATATTTAATCAGTTTCGCGGATGCGAGCGATTAAATTTTGAAAAAACAATTGGGTTCGAATAAAATTTCTCTTGAATTGAATTAGGGCAGGATGTTGGCGGAGGCGGAGTCTATACCTCGGAGTAAGTTTGAAAACCTCGCGCATTCTGCCCCCAACATCCCCGCCTCCGCCGGCATGGTGACCGACCTCGACGTAGAATACCCGACACGGAACAGCAGTGCCTCCGCCCTCAGCCCGGCTTGCTCTCTTGACCCGACGCGAATGAGCGGTGAGTGTTCTCCGATGACAATGTCGCCCTGGAACAACACCTCCAGTTCCCCCTTATCCAAGTCACGCTGGCAGCCGTTCGAGGAATCTAACGTTCCTCCGAACGGCCTTATTGGGTCTCTCCTCCGCGAGGAAGGCCATATCTACTCTCTCGCGGCCACAGGAGACCTGCTGTATACCGGTTCGGACAGCAAGAACATCCGGGTGTGGAAAAATCTCAAAGAATTCAGTGGATTCAAATCGAACAGTGGGCTCGTGAAAGCAATCGTCATTTCAGGCGACAAGCTCTTCACGGGTCACCAAGATGGAAAGATCCGGGTGTGGCGGGTCTCATCGAAAGACCAGAGCGTGCACAAACGCGCCGGGACTCTGCCTACAATGATGGATATCTTTAAATACTCCGTGAAACCCAGTAATTACGTTAAGGTGCGGCGGCAGAAGACGCTCTGGATCAAGCACTCCGACGCAGTTTCGTGCCTGAGCCTCAGTGAGGACAAGAAGCTTCTTTACTCTGCCTCCTGGGACAGGACGTTAAAAGTGTGGCGAATTGAAACCTCGAAATGCATCGAATCGATCCATGCGCACGACGACGCGGTGAACTCCGTCGTCGCGAGCGTGGAGGGGATGGTGTACACGGGGGCGGCGGACGGGACGGTTAAAGTTTGGAAGAAGGAGCAGAGCGGGAAGATCATCAAGCACACTCTGGCGCAGACGCTGCTGAAGCAGGAGAGCGCGGTGACGGCGCTCGCCGCCAGCGCGTCGGGGTCAATTGTTTACTGCGGATCGTCAGACGGGTTGGTGAATTTCTGGGAGCGGGAGAAGCAGCTGTCGCACGGCGGCGTGCTGAAGGGGCACAAGCTGGCGGTGCTCTGTTTGGCGGCGGCGGGGAACTTGGTATTCAGCGGGTCGGCGGACAAGACGATTTGCGTGTGGCGGAGGGAGGGAACGATCCACACGTGCCTGTCGGTTCTGTCCGGGCACACGGGGCCGGTGAAGTGCCTGGCGGTGGAAAAGGACAAGGACGTAAATGCGAGTAAAGCGGACGAGCAGCGTTGGATTGTGTATAGCGGGAGTCTGGATAAGTCGGTGAAGGTGTGGGGGGTGTCGGAGCAGGCGCCGGAGCTGACGGCGATGAGTCACCAGCGCGGGGGGTTTGATGCGGATTCGATTCCGTCGGATGGGAGTTATTCGTCGTCGGCGGGTCGGGGCAGCAGCCATAAGAAGAGGTTCTGATGATTTATGACCGATGGGTTTTCGGTCTAATAGGGTTGCGCCACGTGTCTGATTCAAGATCATGTATGGCATAGAGAGAATGATTTGGACCGTTGATTATTGGCGATGAGATGAAAGGATTGTAGTGCGTGATGAAGCGAAAATTTTTAGGTGTACCGGGTACACCAAATTTTTTTGGTGTACCCTCACTCATTAGAATTTTTTTGGTGTACAAAAAGTGAGGGTGCACCAAATTTTTTTGGTGCACCCTCACCATTATGAGTGAGGGTACACCAAATTTTTTTGGTGTGCCGGGTACACCGAAAAATCCCTCGTGATGAAGGGAGTATATACTGTATATGAGAAATAAATTAGTTTCACTCCATTTCTTTGTTAATTTCTTACTGATAGATGTGTTTTGCATGTTTTGGATAGTTTCTCATGATGATTCGGGGACAAGATCTTAATTAAAAATTGACTAAAAACGTTTTTGGTGAAATTGATTTTTGGTTTCAAAAACATTTCAATTTCTTTTTGGAATAAGCACTAGATATATACTTATTGAAGGAAACACTTAAAGTGTTTTTCTAGACTTTACTTGAATTTTTACTAAAAATTGATTTGAGAAGCATTTTCATCAAAGGCTTTTTTTGTCATTTTAAAATCACTTCCAAACGAACTCTAAGACCCTTTTGTGGTGTACCTTCTTATTCGTTCAATAGAATTATTAGAGAACATTTGTTGATCTACTTGTCAAATAAATAGATAATTCACTGCAAGAAATCTTAATTGTTAGCAAAGTCGTCGGTTAACTTAGATTATTTTCCTCATATCCCTTATCTTAAAAGGGACGATCCCAAACCAACAAGACTTCCTGTTTTGCTAGGGTCTTTGGTGGAGGTGTGAGGGGAAAACATCTATCGTACGCAACATTACTCTTACTTTGCAAAGAAGCTATTTTTTTTTTTTTTTTTCACAAGAACCTGTAACTTTTTCGATTACAAAAAAGCAACCTTTCTGTTACACTAAAGCTCGCCCTCGCATCCCTCATCTTGAGGAAATACTTGGGAAACAATCAACTAAATATATATTTCATACTGTAATTAAAGTTGTGGAAACAAATCGATTTTTCTGATATACATGTAAAGAACTTCATTACAGGCTTGTACTGTAACTCAAAACAACGGTGGAAGTAAAAAAAATGTCATGAAAACTGCAACGTGCAATACGAATTCTCATCATAACCCATCAAGGGACACATAAACTCGTTCGGTTGGTTAAGACCGAGGCGCCAAGTCTGATTCTCCTCCTCCAATATCGCTTGTATAGAAAAAAAATATCGTAACCCTAAAGATGAATCGGTATTCAATGCGATAATGTACGAGAATGGCTTCCTCTTGCTTCGGGTCGCCTATGTGAGCTCAGTCCAGGCAAATGACCACTCCTACTACCAGCAGTGTTCAAGTCTAGGCCCAGAGGAACAACTGGATCTCCGCCTTCTAGCACTCTCAGCACCTGTACAAAAAGCCACACAATTTGAACTCAAACAACTTCATCCCCGAAAAAGAGAAATTAATTTGGCACAGAGTTAGCAACTGAGCTAGGATATCAGGTAACCTTTGACATTGGGGGTCTGGATTCAGGGTCTCGACGCAGACACAGAGAAGCAGCACGTGCCAGCACCTGTAGTTGATGGGGAAAGTCGGGATTTTCATCGGAGGCCAAGTCCGGATCCAGTAACTGATAATGAGTTGGTAAGATGCGGTGTGGCTCTAATGTAGCTAGGGGGTGGAGCCATTCTTCTAAATAACGATGTCCCTTGGCATATTGTAGTTCAGTGATTCTTCGACCGGTCATAAGCTCTAACAGAACTATTCCGAATGCATACACATCAACTTTATGTGTAATTTGCCCGCCATCCACATACTCCGGCGCCAGATACCTACATATCACATTGAGCTTGATCAGATGGAATGACTTCCTTTTCTTTTTTATTTCATTACATGCATATAATTGCATTACTTTTGTACAAAAGAAATCTAGGACCTATATCAAGCAGGATGTGGAGAAAGTACCCTGAAGTTCCAATCACGCGGTCCTCACTGCTCATCTCCCATTCGGAGTACAATCTAGCAAGCCCAAAATCAGCAACCTAAACAAATAACAAACGAGTAAGCATATGAGCACTTTCCATAAGCATCAATACAGGTGTATTAAATATTTGATAGCACACAGGAAATGTGAACAAATTTCTGACTGGTGTAAATCATGGATGAAATACGAAATTAAGAAATACAATCTGTACTAGACAAGGGAACATGGTTTTTGAAGTATATGATATAAAATTCCAGGATTATATCAAGTACCAGAGGTTCAAAATCGTGGGTTAGAAGGATATTGTTGGGTCGAAGGTCTCTGTGTACTATACATCCCACTCTACAATCTTCGTGCAGATATCGTAGACCACGGGCTGCTCCTGTTGCTATCTTTAGCCTCAATTCGCAATCTAGACGGGTTCTTTTCCCTGTCATTCGGAGAGAATGTCAAGTCTATGAAACTGAATAGAGTTGTGGATATGTTCCAAACTAAAAACATGAAGAAAAGTGCATACCATGCAAATGGAAATCCAACGAGCTGTTGCAGATGTACTCATAAACCAATACCCTTGCCTTGCCTTCAATACAATACCCTATCAGCAACACAACGTTCCTCTGTTGTGCGCAACTCAATACTCGTACTTCCCTGCAGAAGTCAGCATCTGCTTGAGATCCACCAAACTTCAACTGCTTCACAGCAACAACTTGACCGTCTCTCAAAACTCCCCTGTGCACCACACCAAAACCACCTTCTGCCAAGAAGTTGATATCTGAGAACGTGTCTGTAGCTTCCTCCAACTCTTTGTATGAGAACTGCTTTGGAGGTTTCCCAAATACTGGTGTTTTGTGTTGACATAGAGAGCATAATGGTGGAGGTGTTGAGGAGGTTCTACCCAAAGAAACAGCATCCCTGATGCTAGAATTAATAAGGTACCCTTTCTTAGGGGTTTCCTTCGGGTCAAATTTATCTATCCTTGTATCTTGATCAAATTGTGAATACTCTTCAAAAAGAGTAAGGAAAGTGGGAGATCTTGGTTGGTGATCGTTTTTACTATTTTGGGGAGTTGGGGGCTTTCCATGATCAACAATGTGATTTTGGGGGATCCAAAAGACACTCTGAGTAGTGACTGCAGATGACGTTTGAGGTTTAGATAGATTTATAAGCCTCTCTCCAATTGTCTCAAGTTCTTCATACGGATCCTCTAAATCATTTGGTATGCGGTCTCCTATTCGTGGTCCTTCGAAAAGAGGATTCTGTTCATAGACGAGAAAAAGAGAAGTCACAGTGTCGTAACTTGATGATGAACCTTCTCCCGTGGTTCTTGTGTAGGAGGAGCTTGGTTCTTCAGGACTGCTAACCGGAGTGGAATGCTTCATTCTATGATGCCCTTGAAATTTTCCAACATGAGATCCTGGTGAAGAAGCGGCAGAAAAGAATGGGGTTTGGAGTTCATCTTGGCATGCTAGATTGAGCCTCAGGACTTTAGGCTGAGTTCCATTCATCATGACAATGTTGCATCCAAGCTCATCCATGCAATGCTTCCGCTCTTGCTTCAACTTTCTGTTAAACAAGGAGAACAATCGGTTGTTTAGCCGCCCATTCAAATCTTTTACACTTTGAGGGACAAAGGTACCAAAAAACTACAACTACACAGGCTTAAGAATAACGTCGTTTCTAGTTTAGGATGGCACTAGATGTGTCCAGTTGTGAAGGAAGCAATCGACCCGTAAAGCATGCACCTAAATCAATAGCTCGGAAATAAGAAACAATACTTTTTTATGTTTAATTACTTGTCCAGTACGACCCAATTGGCTCCGTTGCATCTTGCTTCAGCCGCCACAACCCCACCTGGTGTACTTAATACCACCTTAATCCTCACTGTTACCTGCAATATATGATCATAACTAGTTATGTTTTAGAACCAGCGGCGAGGTTAGGATAAACAGTAAATTAGAAACCGAATTCCTGGCAACAAAAATAAACACCACGAAGATAAAAAACGCGCAAATAAATTCAAATGATCTAAATGGGATTGGTTAATGATTTTAAAAGTTTCATAGTTCATACAGAAGATACGATCCTTTTTGATAATTCCATGCACACCCCACGACATGTTGCAAAGCACATGCCATGTTCCCCTCAAATGATTAACTTATTTGTGCCTAAAAACAAATCCAAAATCTAATAAACTCTGACAACCAAGTGATCAACCGCAAGAGACACTACAAGCCATATGATTATCTTGTTAAACAATATTTCCTTAAACTAAATTATCTAAACTACATATTAAAAGAATTCATTTTGCCAACCAAAAACCAATGACATTACAATTATAACATTTAGTACATACATGAATCTAAACTACATATTAATAGAACTCCTTTTGTTAACCAAAAACGAATTAAATTACAATTATAACCTTTAATACATAACTGAAAAAAAATAGAAAATGACAAAAATGTGGGCATTAAAGTAATTTCACACAAACAAGTTTTTTGCTGTTTGTTTCTGAACCTCACAACCAAAAACAAATAACTCCTCGCATAAAAAAAAAAAAATTAAAAAACAATATTTGAGAAAAATATAAATTATATATCTCATACATAAATTGTGTGGCATTTGCTAGTATTAATATAAAATTAACTCAATGTTTTTTTAATTCAATCTAATACTCTAGTCTACCGGCAGAGGGACTTGTCCTAGGGTCGAAGGAGGCCGGCATACTGTCTTAGCTAACTGACCTAATCCCGTCGGCTTAAAGTTAACTACAATGAAATTCAAATGCGAGTGTAAGAAGAAACTTTATGCATTATTGGAGATAAATTGAAAAACGAGCATAAAGGGCAGACAACTATAGCCTACATCATCAAGTTGTGTCCAGTTGTGCTAAACAAAGAAGCAAACGACAAGTTCCAACGTCCAACGTCCACGTGGCCGCATCTTAAGCACTAAGCAGGCCAACCAGACTACGTGGGTCATTGTCGCTAAAGGTTGAAATTTTCAAAACGGAGAAATTGTAAATTGACTAAAATGGACTCGAACGAGAAACGCGGTAAGTGGCATTAAGGTAAATTCAGTTAGCAATAACGATTCACCTGGATTTGGCTGTGAAACTGGAGAACCATCTGCGAACACGAATCGGAGATCTGGCAAATCCGATCCGGCAAATCTTCCCGACGACGGCTCCCGCAATCTCCGGTGAATCTCGGAAAGTTCCAGAACTTTCCACCTGCCTCGTACAAATTCAACATTAGCAACACGAACTGAGCAGCAGAAGTAAGGTTTAACTACAGTTTACAAGCTGAATTACCGGTTTTAGCGGTGGAGAAGACGGCGAGCAAGGTCACGCAGTCGCCGGGGTGAACGACGTGAGTGAGCGCCCAGGCCAATGCCGTTTTCGAA